TTACGTAACGTAACCTCATATATTGCCCAACGAAATACCTTTTTGTTCTGGAATTTTTTGATATGGCTTATAGGCGGGACAGTGACGACCAGCTGAAAAGGAAAATACAAAGACAAACTATTTTCGCTTCTGGCTAAGTTGACGTATTGAGGAATTATTGACGTCGATATTCACATTTAATTTCGTAGATCCTCCGATTGTAGTTTTTTACTTGCTAAGATGGCAGTCTTCTGGTTCATAAATGACCTACGTTCGGTGCAGTTCTTGTACAGTAGACTCTCGTATACACTCTCGCTTCTGGCCGTTGAGTGAGCTCACTTTCTAAATACGAATAAATAGTTGTACATATATGTATATGTAACATCCGAAAAAGTCTCAGCTAGCAAAGTACTAAATATCAAGTGCCCACTGTATTAGTTGCTCATTCATACTGTTTTCAGCATTCATTCATACACTGGTGGTACTGATTGCATCCTTTTTGTTGTTGTTCTTTCTCAATGGAAAAATTTATCTGAACTCATTTGAAATGAGCTCTTAAAGATTTTAATGAAACACTTGCAAGTAGTTGCTCTTTGGCATTCGTTGTGGATTGTTGAAAACTTTTAATTGAAATTAATTTTAGCAAGAAATTTGTTCAATGTTAAATTTTTGATTATAAAAAGAAAAAAAATGAATTCGCTAAGCTTTTCAAGTAGTCTTGGCTTGGTAATTAGTGTTGTAACGGTAATTTTTGTGCATTACGCCGCAGCCAATAAATACAATGTATCCCTTGGGCAAATGGATACATGCAAGGAATTGACGCTACGTAATACCGGATATGCATATATACACTTCTTTCACATACAACATATGAACAACAACAAAGTAGCAGCAAACGAGAGTTTACACTTGAAATTCTATGTACTGGCCGCCATGGACGCGCATATCCTATTGGCGACCAATGATAAGCCGCGGAGCAGGGATCACGTCTACGAAGTGGGTGCGTGCACATTTTAAACGAATATTTAGTTTAAAGAAAATATGCCAAAAAATTCACGAATATTTTTCTTATCAGTTATTGGCGCCGGACAAAATTCCTTCTCGGCCATACGTAGCCGGATGGGTTCGCAACGCGTTTCTACAAGTACGGAAGCGCAGATTTTATCGATCTACGATCCGACGCCCATTGAAATTATACAAACAAAGGGTATGTACGTATGTATGTGCAAATGTGTGTGTATTTATTCGCATGAAGAAGGGGCATTGTTTAAATGCTCTTAAACAAACCAACAAAGCAAAAACAAAAAAAAAGAGTCTGATAAGTAAATTCAGAGCTGCTCTCGAAATGAACACATCCATATATTTATGCATTATATATTTTTATAAAGTTGTTTTTGTAATTATGTACCGCAGATGGCACACTTTCGGTTTACATAACCGGCTATAAAAAGGAACCACTTCTGAATTACACAGATCCCGCACCTTTAGAAATCAACTACCTCAGTTTTAGTTCCTTTGGGGGTGCTTCGGCGAAATGGTTCTACGATTGCCAATTCGATGGTTTCGGTAAGTTACTCAAAAAAAAAAAGTATCGACGAAGTTTGTTTTGAAATGGTTTCCATTGCTTTTTACAGCCGAAGAAATGGAAGAGAGTGTGCACGTGCTCGATCCATTTCACTCTTTACTCGCTAATCTGACCAAAGCATCGGCGAATGAGTCAGTGCCTACGGCTCTCAAGTCTGTGGACTTCGCCTTTCAATTAAAATCGGTTGCCTACAATCACGAAAAGTCGATATTACAAACACGTCTGCAGTTAACACTGGTGAGTAGTGTTGGCGGCAGAAACAAAAAAATGATCGGGTAGTGTTATTCAGTAATGAACTTGAGAGGCATGTGTACATACATACCTGGGTACATTAAGGCGGTCAAAAATGAAGAATACCGAAAATAAAGATACTGGCATTTTTTCTTGAAATCGGTTGATATTTAACCATGCTGCCAGGGATTTGAGGTTTTCTGTATATTTTACATATTCGTAGAATTTCTATAAAATCGTTTAAAATAGAAATCTGTTTTCATCGAATACGAATATTTACATTCAGAAATCTTCAAAAAATTCAATTACGATACATATGTATTTAACTTTTAAATTTTACGAATCACTTTTTCATACCCGATAATATAACTTTTATACATACAAGTTATGAAAAAAGATCATAAAATTTTAAAGTTAAATATGCATCATTACCTATTTAATCTTTTGAAAAGAAATATTCTATTCGATCAAAAATATTACTTTTTAATGATTTTATTGCCATTCTACGAAAAAAATAAATTTTTCCCTATAAAATATATGGAAAACTTCAAAGCCCCGGCGGCGCGGCAAAATCTTAACCGATTTCAAACAAAAAATACAGGTATACTTAATTTCGACATTCTTCAGTATGGAAAAAGTTGATTTTTCTGAGGGTTTTTGGACCACCCTAAAGTATATATGTACTTATGAATTTTTTAAGAATTGAAAAATGTGGAAAGAATGCTAACAATTTTTAACTAAAGTCTATCTAAATATCTATTTTTTTTTAAAGAAAGAAAAATATGTTTAAATAAAAAAAATATTCAAAGGTATATATGTATGTATTTAAATTTTTTTTAATTTAACCAGGAACTTAGAACAAAAGGTATGATCGGAACTAAATGTCGTTCTTGTAGTTTGGTTTCCAAGTACCCTTCAACACCAAAACCGAAATGAGAAAAAAACTATAGAGAACGTTCTTAATGGGAACTACATTTATCAGAACAAAACCCTGTGGAACGTTCCCAAAGAGAACAAAATGCTAGTAATATTTTCGAGAACATTTCCAAGAGAACAGAACGAGGAAATAAACTCTAAGGAACTTTCTATCGAAGAACAATTTGGGCACTAGAGTCCCAGGAAATTTCTGACATAGAACGAAACGGGAACAGATCTTCTCTGAACTATTCGCGAAGAAAGGAATCGAAAACAAAGCGTTTCTCATAGCGTTCATTAGTTGGAAATGTTTGAATATTAAAATTAATAAAAAATAACTGAAAGTTAACTATGCAAATAAAGTCCAGCGAAAGATTTAAGACACGAACTTTTCTTACACAGAACATCCATAAATGGACGTAAATGAACAGCTCACCCTAATAATAAACGACCTGGAAGTTGAAATGATCCAGCTGTGCTCTGGCTTTGGATTAAGAAAAGTGATTTTCACTCAAACTATTTTTCATCCCAACACGTAGATGCTCCTCACACATTTAACGTAAAGTTCTCAAAACGTTTGTTCTCTAGCACAACGTTCCCCAGACCTTTGTTTTTATGCTATCCTCCTTTAAAATGTTCTCGATACTTTCGTTCTCATTGGAAAAGTTCCCGTTTATTTTATTTTATTTTATTTTATTTTTTTTTTTATTTTTTTAATTATTTTATTTTATTTTATTTTATTTTATTTCATTTTATTTTATTTTATTTTATTTTTAATTTAATTTAATTTAATTTAATTTAATTTAATTTAATTTAATTTAATTTAATTTAATTTAATTTAATTTAATTTTATTTTATTTTATTTTATTTTATTTTATTTTATTTTATTTTATTTTATTTTATTTTATTTTATTTTATTTTATTTTATTTTATTTTACATATTTTATTTTATTTTATTTAGAATGCTTTTTTAATTTAGTTGTATTTTATTTTATTTTATGTTATCGACGCACTTTACGGTCGATAATGAATATTGAATTTTACTTCTTCAACTTTTGCAACAGTATTGGCACGACCCCCGTCTGGCGTGGAATGCGGAAGAAAATGGAATACCAGCCGTGTGCTTCAGCAGCAGAAATGCACCTGCGGGAATATGGCAGCCGGATTTAATACTGCTTAAGTAAGTTAATTGAGTTACAAACAAAACTGCTCTTGGAATTTCGAAATGTAATATTTTTAATTTTTCTCTCTCCCCTGCCCACCACTCACAGTGCCGCTCACAACATCGACGACACCCAACATGAACCCGACGTCGGTTTGGTGGTTTATGCCAATGGCAACCTGACAATGCTTAATACAAATGCAGAATTCACCACATGGTGTGTTGACACGAAACGCAATTGGCCACATGAACGTCTAAATTGTGGACTCATACTGGGCCTAAAATCTTTCTCGCCACTCACCCACGAGCCCATCACTTTGGCTTATGACAGCTCATTGCCACTGCCAGTGGAGCCTTTCAATATGCTAAGCGAGTGGCATTTCAGACAGATAAGCTTATCGGTGATCGCCACCGCCGATAACAATACGGATCGTTATGGTACGCAGGCCATTGCGCAGACCATGAATGGCGATATATCGCTGGAGTTTGTGATCGAAAGGAATGGCAGTTTCTATAAGAATGTCTTCATGATGCCGCTAGTGGGTAGGGTTTATTAAAATTTTAAACACTAACACTTTTTTAAACAAATTTTTTTTTGTTTTTTCTTGTTCTTGTAGCCTCTGAAACGCTCATCGTGTTATCTTTTCTATTGCGCGGCTATCGTCGCGGTGGGCTGATCCTTGCGGTGTTCTTCGTAATTTCGCTGGGTATGATGTTTGTCACGAAGCATGCGCCCACGGCTTATATACCAAATATGCGTGAGTTGTTTTCCTTGTTTTTTTTTTTTAAGTAGTTTGGTAAATTATTTTTACTTTAATTTCCAGTGCATGCATATAGACACGTGATGCGAACTGCAACTTTCTGCTACTTGCTGCACGTGTCACTAATGTGGCTGGAACTGTATCCGCCGAAGGCGAAACCCATGGACTGGATGATGCGGCTGATTAATCTATCAGCTCTGAGGTTATTGCTCTGCCTGCGAGTGACTGATGTAGGTTTTCAAGAGTTTGTTTTTGGGGTATTCAAGTTTGGAAAATGCTTATGAAAGCTACACATAAAAACTTCAAGGGATTACAACTTGCAGCCTTAAAATTTGAAAGCTTGATTATTTGCTAGGAAAAACTTTTCTAATGAATCCTTATCAGCGAAAGTTCGTGGCAGAAGTTTTCTTTATTCTGATAGAGACCCTCTTCCTTCCCGCATTAGTACTGAAAAATTTGGTTTTATACAAGTAGTTTCATGTGATTTTTTTGGTAAACATTTTGCTTAAGTACTTTATAAAATGTTTATGCTAATTCAAAGTTTTCGCGCGAAAGCTTCCTTTTCCAAACTGAGTGTACGTCTTTCTATACTAGTGTGTGACTTTCATCAGGAAATCAAACAATTTAGCGGATTGTGTGAACACGTGGCGAAAGCTTATTCTGTGTAGGAAAGTAATATCTAGTGTTTGAAAGCTAACATAAAAGCTTTGCTGTCTTAAATAAGCTTATAATCTTATAGACGGGAGATTTTTTCATTAGGTTTTGTAATCATGGTACGAAAAAAAGTCGGAGTAAACCATCACGCTTGGCCATCATAGCTGTAAAAGCACGCAAGATTTATACAAAAAAAAAATATTCAGATTTTTTAGTTCTTTCTTTTATCTTTCAGTGCGATGAATTCGTGAGAATACAGACGCATCCCTGGCGTGAGTTGGCCAAGATGATCAACAATTGCTGCTTTATCGTCATCAGTACTTTATTTATAGTCATCGATATTCTGCTGTTGCCGAGCTTCTAAAATCACACCTCACACAGCAGTTTTAGATAATACATATACTTTTTGCCAACTGCTCAAAATTTACCTATTAATATGTACGCCCAAAAGCTGTGAAGTCAAAAGCGAAAAAACTTAATATTTTTTTTTTATCGAAAAAAGTTCACTTAGCATTTTATTCTTGTTGTTGTTACAGTACAAAGAAAATCATTTAATAAATACAAAATGTGTATGTTAGCATATGTATGTATGTATGAAATAATATTCTCGTCAACATTTTAACTGGCATATTTCAAATTCCACTCTCCCACATTCCTCAGCTGCGCCACTTTGGGCATTCAATGACGCAATGTTGTATTTTTTTGGGGGGTAACTTTCATGAGCTTTTCTGCCATCGTGAACTTAATTTCTGCTTTGCCATAGTGAATATTTTATTTAAACAATTAATATTTATGTAGTTAAATACATTTCAAATAGAAATTAATGCAAATGGTGAAGTGAATTTTTCTCCATTTTTCCTTCACTCTGTCAAAACTGTCTCCCGTACTTTATCCTCGTGCTTGCATCGTGCGGCTGCTCACTGTCGTTCTTGTTGTTGTTCTTGATTGTTCTTGCTGCTGTTGTTGTTATTATAACATTGTTGTATTATTTTTATTGTTCTTGTTGTCAACACATTTACATATAATGTAAATCCATCAATGATAGAAAATGCATTGTAGTTGTAAATTACTCGTAAGAAGAATTCCCTTCAAGGGCGGAAAAAATATTATTTAGATGCTTAGATCCTTGAAAATCCTAGTAAACCATTTAATGACTACCAAAACAAAAAAAAAAATAACGAAGTTTTTAAAGCGCCGGCCACCGGCAGGCGGACCTGCGCTGAATTATAAAATATTTAAGCCGTAATTCCATACGTCCTTGTAAAACACAAATTCTTCAATCCCTGCTGACTTGCCTTCATTTTCTTTTACTTCTTATTTTTGTTTTATTTTTTATTTTATTTTCTGTTTTGTTTTTCTTCTTTTCCTGCACATTTAATGTCCGTAACCACTAATACCTCCAATATGTCCGTAGCTACTAATACCTCCAATGTGTCCATAACTAATTGCTGGTGCGGCGGCGTACGAGATCGCAGGAGCGGCATATTTGATGGCTGGTGCGGCGTACGAGATGGCCGGTGCAGCGTAGGAAATGGCTGGTGCGGGCGCAGCGTAAGAAATGGCGGGAGCGGCGTACTTGACTACTGGAGCCGCTACGGCAACTGGAGCGGGAGCGGCGACCTTAACGACGGCTGGTGCGGCGTGCTGGATTACCTATTAAACGGGGAGAGAATGCGAGCAGAATATTAAAAAAATATATATATATGTATAAATATTAGGTTCTCTCCCGTAGGCAACGCAGGATTCCGCGGATGCCCACAAAAACAGCCCAGAAATCATTCCCGTACTCAACAAAATGGGTAATACAGAGTGAAAATTGGAAAGTATTGGATCGTAAGTGTCTTCTTCTTCCTGCCCGAAATAGCCCAGACTTTTTCTCCGGGTAAAAATGGATAAAGTGTCAAAGTTCATATCTGTTTTGCGCTGTTTTGCGTTTACATGTTGCATGCATTTACTTGGTGCTTTTAAGGAATAGTGAATGACCTGTTGATGTATTTTCAAACTTTGTATACTTAAAATCAAATTTTTGAAACCAAAACTAAATTTTCAAGTGTTTGCGTTTAAGTTACAAAAACAAAAACAATGCTAATCATCCGTTTCTCCAATTTTGGGCACGAAATGTGGCTTTTTGCGTTACCGTACTTCTGGACTTTGTTCCATTTTTGAGAGCAAACCTTTGGCTCAATTCTCAATTACCGGATCTGGTCCAGATTATTAGGGAAAGAACCTAAATATTATAATTGTTGTTCTTAAAAAAAAATAAATATAAAAAAATAATAATTGGTAAATGGTAACAATTTTATAGAAAAAAAGTTAATTTAATTTAATTTAATTGAAGAAAATTTTTTGACATGAAAATTGGTCTTAGGAAAGTTAACAGGAAAGAAAACATTTTCGGGGCGAAAAAAATTTATGACCTATAAAGTTTTTGCAATCTAAATTTAGTCAAAATGTTGGAAGCTTTTAAAATAAAAATAATTTTAACCAAAAAACCAACATGTTCTAAGCGTCGCAAAAAACTCTCAAAAGCAGCCAGATATGGTTTTCCTATATTATGTTATATTTTTCAAAGGTTTATATTTCTCGAATTCAACAAATAAAAATGAAAAATAAAAATTACTATTGGAGTTTGTTTTTTTCGCTCAAAAGAAATTATTATTACTTGATTTTTTTTTGTGAAAAAAATAGTTATTTTATGGTTTTTACGTTATCGCTCAAAGATAATACGTATTATTGAGTTTTACTTTTGAGGCACAAAAATAATAATCATTGTTGAGTTTTTTTTATATAAATCAAACTTTAATAATTTTTGTCGAGGAAAAAAAATCAACAAAAATTATCTACTTTTAAGCGAACAATCAAAATCATAAAATAGTAATTAAATGCTGATTTAAAAAATTTTACTTCAAAAACCGCCCGTGAAAATAAAATGTAATAAGAAAAAATTAAGTTAAAATTTTACTTTCGAGCTCAAAATTTACTGAAATTTTCGTCCGAAATTTGTTTGAAATTAAAACCCATCTTTAGATGGAAATTAAAAAAAAAAATCTTTAAAAAGTAAAAAACGGGAAGTAAATTGAGTTCGAAATTTACTGAAACTTTCCTCCGAAAATTGTTTGAAATGACAAAAGTAAAAAAAATATGAGACACAATTTGCGAAATCAAAACTGAGTGCAGCCTTCGTCTACAAAAACTTGTAAAAAAAAATTGTTAAATATTTTTAAGAGAAAATTCGGAAATCGGAATTCGGAGAAATCGGTAGCTGAGATATGGTATTTTCGAACCATTAGCTGATATACTTATGCAGAGCGATCTTTCACTCAGCTGTCGTTTAAAATTTTAAGAGTTCAATAAACAACAATTAACGTATTTAAAATAGGCCGAAATAAGGATATACACAACTGGGACGCTGGGGCAATGCTTATTTCAGAATAATTAAAAATTTTCGCAAACTGACTCCTTTCCTTCACTGTCCTCTGAATTTTCGCACTTCAACATACATTTGTCTGCTTCAAATTACACTCACTAACACTGTCACAGCCGTTTGCACATCCTTCTAATTTCTCAAAAAAAACATCTTTCGCCACCACAATCCCCCAAACTCACCTGACTGAAGGTGGAATAACTAGTGGCGGCCGGTGCTGCCTTCACAACAGCTGGCGCAGCGACAACAGCGGGGGCAGCATAGGCCTTGACGACCGGCGCTGGAGCATAGCTGATGGCCGGTGCTGCGTAACTAATAGCCGGAGCAGCGTTTGCGTAACTGAGTGCTGGCGCCGCATACGATTCATGGCCCAAACCACCCAAACCCAAATATCCAGGAGCAGCGGTAGCAGCTGCGATCAAGCTGAGCAGGATCTAGTGTAACGCAACAGAAAGGACACATTGAATTTAGAATATGCAAAGGATAATGAAACACAAGCACTAATCTGATTCTTCATTGCAACACAGCACACGCGCTATCCTCACCAGATATTTCATGTTGTAGTAGTGACGCGTCTCTTGGCGGAGGATTTAAAACGGTTTATTGCGAACTCTTTCACGCACGTTTACTAATTGCACGCACAGACTTCGATTAGTAGTCGATTGGTTGGTGGAAAAGTCAACTGTGATTTCTATGCTGACAAGCAGTTACTTTTATAGTTCAACGCGTTCGATCGTAAATTAGAAAAATCATTTCGAAGAGCGCAAAAACACAACAAAATGCGCATTCTTGTGCGAATTGCACGCAGAACTAAAAGCAAACAAAAATAAAAATAAAAAAATACTGGCAAATAAGAGCGCATAAAAACGCACAATCAAAAGAAAAAAAAGCAAGTTGATTGCAATCGGCTAGACGCTGCGCATGCGCGCCACAAACGAAAGACTCAAAGCGCGAACTTGCGTCGTCGACTGTGGCAAGTTGCAGTGGCAGAAACGATTCTGGATAAGTCAAATGCTTTTGCCTGAGATGCTGCAGATGTTAGCATTGCATTGGCTAGTTGTTGTTCATAGCTGTTCATTTGGCAATGCGTGCAGGCGCCAAGTTGGAAGCTCGAATTGTAGCAACGCGTTACCGACAATGGTCTGGCCGCAGATCGAGGCTTGGCGTCTCACAAATCTATTAAACGCGTTGGCTGCTGCGGTGGTGGCGCTGGCGGCAAGTAGAAAAAAGAGCGAATGAGATTTTTTGTTACTTGGCCAGCAAAGTTTTGGAGACATTTTTTTTTAGTTGGTTTTTTGCTTTATTGGATGCGATATTAAGTTGATTAAAAGAGCTTCTAGAGTTAACAGGCGCTGGCGAGACGTTGTTGGAGTGTATGAAAGTTGTAGTCGAAAGCTAATTGAAACAAGCAAGTCTTTTCCATCAAAAATGCTGCGCGTGTAGAAATATTTTTATTTTGGTGCAAAAAAATAAAATTTAAAATTTTATTTCCTTTATCTGACGGGCGGCTGAATAGTAGTTTTGCAACAACCAATTTTTCTTTAATAACTTGCTTGCACGCCTAATTTAAAAAAAATAGTGCTGGCCCAAATTTTCCTTAAAAGTGCTTTTGTATCTCGACAACGCTCGACTTCTCAGCGCTTCCTTTTAAAGCTTAACCATACGTGCGTTTTTCAATGAATGACAGTAATTTAATTTAGCTGGAAATTAATAATTCAACGGGGCTTCCTTATTTGTATAAGTAAAATAATCGGCTAAAATATTTCGGAAAAATAAGGCATGAGAAGAAAAAGTATAAAAAGAAGTGGGACATTAGACCGTACACTTCTGAGTCGTTTTGCAAACATTTTGGAACAAACATTTTTTTTTTTTTTTTTGGCCAAATCATTTACCGTCATATCTTCGGCATTTACAGCCAGATCTTGAAGTGTGATTTATCGATGTTCTTATCCCGAAGAGCGAATTTTACTTGTTCCAAAGTTCTTATTCTTACAAAATATTTTATTTTTTTTTTCACTTTTATTTCTACATCGTTTGATTAAAAAAAAATGCCGATAAAAATAAAATATTTCACACAAACAACAAAAAATAAAAGTAATCTTAAAGCTATTG